TTTCTTAGAACAAAAACAGTAACAGTGACTAGCATTTACTTATTTCGTCACTCCACATTGTCTTCTCATTGAAACCTCCAGGCAACTTTTTTTTTCTTTTTTTTGAGACAGACTCGCCCAGGCTGGAGTGCAGTGGCATGCTCTCAGTTCACTGCACCCTGCCTCCCAATTAAAGTCATTCTCTTGCCTCAGCCCCCCAAGTAACGGGGACTACACGCGTGTGCCACCTCGCCCAGCTATTTTTTTGTATTTTTAGTAGAGACAGGGTTTCACTATGTTGGCCAGGCTGTTCTCACACTCCTGACCTCAGGTGATCTGCCTGCCTCGACCTCTTGAGTGCTGAGAAATATAGGCGTGAGCCACCACACCCAGCCCCAAGCAACTTTTTGAAGCAGGCATTATTACCATGCCCATTTTATAGATGAGAAAAGAGCTGGATCCAGGTAACTCGTCCAAAGTTACACCCTAGGAAGTGTTAAGTCAGTACTTGAACCCAAGCAATCTGGCTTCGCAACCTACACTCTTAGTCATTATTGTCTGTTACCTCTTATGAGAAGTGTTTGATTTGAGTGATCGTTTATGGAAGAAGCACTCATAGTCGCTGTCAGGCTGTTGCAGTGGAGTTGTTAGAAGCACAGCTATGCATTGTGCGTCCGGCCAGTTCCGGGTCATTTCTCATCTTCTCTTCACCAGAGTATAAAAGTGAGACTTGGCAAAATGCTTTTGTATCTTAAATGGTATTTTTGGTAGTATTTGCTGGAGAAGAGAAATTTTGCAAAGGTCTCCACCCACATGGGCAGCCTGTCCCCCTTCTTGTACCACAAGTTGGGTCCTTGAGTGAGGCCTCACAATGAGTCAGGACAGGCTGCTGATCTCCCAGTTCAGGGCCCAGAACTGGCTGGCAGGGCTTCAGGGAGAGGGCCCAGCAGTGCTGGGGGCCTGACCCCTCCTGTCTGAGCAGGGCTGGGAGGGTGGTTGGGACACCTGTATTTCAGGGCCTTGCTACAAGATGTGTCCTGTTCAGGATATGCAAATTCTCTACTGCTGCCTTAAGTAATTTTGTTCTGTTTTGCCGATTTTGCTGTTTTTCTAGTAGGCTTTTTTTAAAAAGTGTTTTTGTTTTCTCAACAGATTTAAAAGAAGAGATATCAATTTCTATTAGTGGCCTAAGAACCTAGCTAAAGGGGAGTGCAGCTACAGCCACAGGCCACCATTGGCTCCTGCCAGCAGGGGACCTGGTTTCTCAGTGCCCAGAAGGGCAACTTGTCACCAAGTGAGCCAGACGCCCTCCTGCTGCGCTGCAGGTTTAATATTTGGGTCAGAATTGGCTCCATTACCTTTATTTTCAGCTACATTTCTTCCAATTTGATTGGAGTGAGAGAAGAGCAATGGGCTGCAGGATTGTAGAGTGTCAACTGTTTTCTGAGGACCTTTTTCAGATGTACATTTGCTTAAATCATTCACTTCTGCTCCAAGTTTGAACATGAAGTGCAGAGGCAGCACCGTTGCTAGCATCTCAGCAGTGGGACGGAATAATAAGTTGACTATGCAGAGTCCCCTGTTGATTGCTTAAGTGTTCTCCATTTTGTGTCCATTAATTAGTACTGTAGTTATCACCGGCAGGGGACCTGGGAGTACTCCATTTCCTGGGTCCCATTGGACAGTGACGAGGTGGGGGAAGCTTCAGTGAAGGAGTGTATTCAGGCAGAAGATACACTTGAGATTTTTGAGAGAAAGGAGTGAAATCAATGGTTTATTTTCTTTGTGAGCAGAATCAACGCAGTTGCACAGCACCACGTTTTCACAGTGTCCATCTGAGGAGAGGAATCGGAGGGTGGAAGGCTGCAGTGGCTGCATGCGACTCAAAGGGTTTGCCTTGGGAGTGAGTGGGCACCCTCTGTGTGTGGCCAGTTGCCTGCCCCACCCCACCACCTGCATGTGGAAGGCAGGTTACCATCTTAAGTAGAAATGTCCATGGATTGGATAATGTCATGGATGTTTTTGATTAAATATTTCGACTCTTTCATGAAACATTACAGCCTTCTTCTGGTAATTGGTTAGTTATAGCTCAGTGCAGCCAAGTTGGCACATACTTAGTTTCTTTGAGCAAATCTTGCCTGTTCAGTTAATTTAAGTCCATCCTTATAACCAGGGTGATAATTCTGTCCAGAGCGTTGCTGTTGACGTGAAGCCCTCCAGTGTGTCCTCTTTCATCTGCTCCTCGTAGCGACGCCCTGAGGTGGCATTGGCATTCCTAGGATCCCTGTTTTAGCAAACCGAGTCTCTTGAGAAATTAAGTGATCTCTTAGGTCACACAGCTAATGCTTCGTAAAGCATTTCCTAAATCCAGATCGCCTTACTCTAAGTCTTATAATACTGTTACTACTATACCATGTGACTTAGCAACTTAGAATGTTTTTCATGGGAAATGTTAGTGCAAATTGGAAGAGTCCTTCATGCTATGATCTTTCCTGTTTATAAATGCAGCTGCCATGTTCATGAGAATTTAGAGGAAAACAAAAGAACAAGAAAGCATCTTATTGATTATAGACCCTTTATAGATGGTGCAGGGCATCAGTTCATATTTGGTGAGTTGATGAGTGGCATTTTCATGTGGAATTAAATATTGATGCCAGCTGTGGCGAAGTATTCTTTCTGATACCAGCTTTCGGGCATAGAACTTCATCACCTGGGGCTTCTCTTCCTTAATCTAGAGAATGAAAATTTTGAACTGGCCTATCTCTGAAACCCCATTGATTAAAATTCTTGAACTGTATGAAATTTGATAACTTAGACACAAAAAATAGGTGGACAGTATGAGAAAAGTTAACAAATGTTTTATTTACTTTAATATTTTCAGTAAAATTAATTCTTAGGACACTGAGTAACAGGACTGAAAAATAACTTCGTTGCCAGCACTTTTCTTATTTTAAAATTGGCCTGCTGTATTTTGAATGTGTATTGACCTGCAAATAACAATAAAAGTATATTTTATGTGTGTAAATATTGCTCAGGGAACAAATTGTCGTATGGAATTGATACTAAGATTTTCTTTGTTACAAATGGAAGTCAGTTTCTCTATGCATATATCTGAGAAACAAAGTCATCTGGTAATAGTGTGTTTTTAAAGATATGTTTGACAGCAAAAGAACACTTAAAAGCTTTGCTTGGATTTGCCATCATTAGTAATTAGGGAATTGCAAATTGAAACCATAGTGAGATATACCACTCATTTAGATTGGCTTAAGTTAAAAAGACTGACCACATCAGTTACTGGTGAGGAAGTGAAGGAATTGAAACTCTCATACACTGCTGGTGGGAAGGTAAAAATGATACACCACTTTGGAAAAACTTGTCAGTTTGGTAGGAAGTTAAGCCTACACCTACCATATGATCCAGCCTTTCTACACCTAGATATTTATCTAAAAGAAAGGAAATCATAAGTTCATACAGAGGCTGTGCCCAAATGTTTATAGCAGCTTTGTTTGTAGTGGCTCCAAACTGGAAATAACCCAGATGTCCACCAGCAGATGAAGGGATGAATGGTGGTTTCACACATACAGGGACTGCTATTCGACAGCGAAAAGGAATGAACCCTTGATACACACAGTAGTGCGGATAAATCTCAGGGTAATTATGCTGAATGAAAGAAGCTGGACAGAAAAAAAAAAAAAAAAAGAGTACATACTGTCCCAGTCCAGTTCTAGAAATTATTTTAGAAAATGCAGGGTAATCTCCAGCGGCTGAGAGCAGGTGAGTGCCAGGGAGGGAGCGGGACAGAGGGCATCAGCCAGCTTTGGGATGAGGGAGAGGCTCACGGTGAACTGGGCGTAGACAAATGTCAGAACTCACACTGGACACTTTACATTTGTGCAGCTTATAGTACGTCAGTTAGTCCTCAGTAAAGCTGTTGTATAAAAAGCTTGGCTTGGAAACAGAACACCACAGGCACACACGGTTTCTTTCTGCACGTACAGTTTTGACTTATGAGCCTCGAGGCAGCAGGCATTGGACAGGGTGTCAAGCGGGAGGTCCCGACTTGCCCCATCTCGCCAGCTGAGCCGGCTGTTCTCACTAGACATACAGAAGATGTGTGAGCTGACTTTTAGTCCCTGAGAAGGCTGAAAGCATTTTCTCCACATACAAACCACTGCCAAGCCACCAGGGCCTGCTTAATGTAATTAATTGTCTTTTTCGGTTCCATGAATAGTACCCGAGAGATCTGCAGGAGTTAATGGACTTACAGGAAGTAGGCTGTGCTCCTCGGCTCCCACCAGGCCCAAAGCCGTTCTTGCCACTCTCGTTCCAGGGTGTCTTTGCTCACCTAGGTCTCCAGCAGCCCATTTTATGGTGGTGGCAGTGGAGGTGTCTGCGTCTTTTCGGCATGCACACTCTTTCCGTCAAAGGCCCGAACTCTTGGCAGCCTGACTGCGGGGCCTGGGCTAGTGCCGCCTCCCTAGCTCCACACCCTGGTCCCCGGCCAGGCTCGGTGGTGAATTCCTTTCACCACATTGTGCACTTCCTTCTGTGTGCTTCCGGGGGAAATCAGTGGTTTAATAATGAAAACTTGAAATAAAAGTGTCCACCTGCTACGTAAGAGCCTAAGACATGTCAGAGAAGGTGTCTTATGTCAGCAGAGGTTTCTGTGGACTGAGGGTCTTTTCTTATTTCCACCGCACTCTGGATTGAGCCTCAGGAGAATGGGAAAGAGCAGTTTCCCTTCCCTTTCCTTTTTCTCTTTTGTGACAGCGCTGCCCGCCTGTTTGTTTTCCTCCCTGCGGCGGTGGCATGCTGCTTTTGTTGTGCATGTGTTCCGCTGGCAGTGGGACTGGATGCCCCTCCCTCCTGTCCTTCCTTCCTTCCCTCTGGGAGCGGTCTGTCACCAGTCTCCTCCCAGGGCAAGTCACACACCGTCTCCACTGGGGCCACTTGGACACCGGGCGGCCCACCTGGTGGTGCAGCCAGGCCAGCTGGCCTCACCCAACTCTCCCCTTCCCCAGCTGTGGACGTGGCTGGAGGAGCTGCAGAAGGAGCTGCTGGACGACGTGTATGCCGAGTCGGTGGAGGCCGTGCAGGACCTCATCAAGCGCTTCGGCCAGCAGCAGCAGACCACCCTGCAGGTGACTGTCAACGTGATCAAGGAAGGGGAGGACCTCATCCAGCAGCTCAGGTGGGCCTCACCCCTCTCCTGGTCCGAACAGATTCTGAAGCCCTGCCTGTGACTCCCCTTCCCCTTTTACTCTTGTGGGCAGTCAGCTCTGCTTCTCTGTCCAGCTCAGTGCAGAGCAAGCAGCGTCGTGAAGGCAAAGGAGAGAAATGGCTCTCTTCTCTCTTTTCTTTTCCCCTCCTTCCTTACAGTTTAACTTCATAATAGTTTTCGTTATAATGTTGACTAATAAGCCACATAATTTAATTTTAATATTTTCTCTTAACATCCAACTAGTAATTATTGACACTTCTTTATAAATGAGATGAATGTGAGCCTCCGAGGACTGCACCCTCAGGCCGGTCTAGAGGACAGCAGTATTCACCTCCCAACGTCCAGATTCAGCCAGGCCTGCAAGGGGCAGACACCCACCCCCAAGTGCTCTTCAAAGCAGGATATGGAGGCAGAGCCAGGGTTGGTTTTGTTTCCTCTGGAAGCAGATTTTTTTTATTGGGTCAGGGGGACCATTTAACCCCCTACTGTATCACTCAGGACAGTTTCTCAAAGTCGTTGACTGCTAACTTTACATGACGTTCACTTTTGCTGGGAGAGACAGGAGGCGGTTACTTAATAAAGGCTTAATTGATTGCATTAAAGGTTAACCTCTCATGTCCAATATGATTCTGTCATTTATACTAACCAGGTATCATCCGTTTTTTACTTAACAAGAAAAGTGGCTAAAAATACAACTCTAAAGTGATTTTCTATCATTATTAGCCTTCTTACAGAGTGATTTCAGAAAATGCCAGAGAAATTCTTCAGTGTCTCCTCACATTCAGCAGGATTGCTCCGAGGAGGAAGCCTAATATTGTTTTGCAGGGGAGCAGCCCGTTCCATTTTCTGAGACAAGCAGTGCGGCTTCCTGCCAGCTTTCTTCCCCTGAAGATCTGCGTGGCCGGATCTGGTATCTAACAATGTGTGACTTTCTCATCCAATTCCTGTTCCTCTGTGCGCTCTCGCAGGGACTCTGCCATCTCCAGTAACAAGACCCCCCACAACAGCTCCATCAACCACATTGAGACGGTGCTGCAGCAGCTGGACGAGGCGCAGTCGCAGATGGAGGAGCTCTTCCAGGAGCGCAAGATCAAACTGGAGCTCTTCCTGCAGCTGCGGATCTTCGAGAGGGACGCCATCGACGTGAGTGTCCCGTGGCCGGCGCCTGCCTGCCTGCCTGCCTGCCTGTGGGAGCCCTGGTTTCCTCCACAGCACCAGTGCCCTCTTGTCTCTGCCCCGCTCAGGTCCTGTGTCCTCACCCACACCCACACCCTCTGTACCAGGAGGGGTCCGGGAGGGAGAGAGGGTTCCTGGAGGCTGGAATTGGATCATCCCTGGGAGGCCAGAGGATGCTCAACCCTGGGCCCCAATGCTGGAAACAGTAGAGCAGGCAGCTCGCGTGGCAGGAGCAGAGCACAGCAAGCGCTGGGCAGAACCGAAGGAAGCCGGCACAGCTTTCTCTCAGTCTTGGGGTGCTTAAACCTTGATTGGGTCACTCACAGCACTCCCTTGTCCTCAGCTTAGGCACAGCCATCAGCTTCAGGCAGCAGCCTTCCCTCTCTTCCTCCCTGTCGTCTTCTCATCCTTCCCCCTCTCCTCCTGTCCTCACCCTCCTCTTTTCTCTCTCTCCCCACCTTCTCTCTCTCCTACCTTCTCTCTGCCTTGCTTCCTCCCTTTCTCTTTCCGTCTTTCTCTCTCTTGCCCTTCTCTCTCCCAGAGTGGGAATAATCCTGACTTGTGGTCATAGCATTTTAGATAATAGAAAACCCAATTTCCCCCCAAAGAGGTGTTCTCAGATTATCCATAATTCTTACCTAAACATGGACTTCTGCACCTTATATGTGAACAGGAGAAAGAAGTTACAGGTGTCTTTTATCTTTCTTCAACACAAAGAGAGTGGTTCTGGGTTCTGTGCTTAGGAGGAGCTCTCTTTTTTGACACCGTGCGAGCAGATGTCAGTCCAGTCGCGTGAGTGCGAATTTACCTGGGGACATGATGAAAGGAGCCAAAGCTGCCCTCCGTAGGTGAGCCTGCTGTCCTGGAGTCTGGCCGCTTCATGCAGCTGGTGGCTGTGACGGCCCAAAGGCCTCCTCCACATACCTCTGGGCTGCCCGGTGGTTCCTCTGTGACTGCTGATAGACACCTGCAGAGCACACCCCCTTAATATTTATTTCTCGTCTCTGGTTTAGAACTCATCAGCAGTTCTTGCCACTCAGGCTGGGGATGGCAGGGCTGTGCGTAGCCTGCCCTCAGTCACCTCGGCACAGGAAGGACCTTCTGCCCATAGTGGGCCATGTGGCTTCCCCTGGGCCTGTCTATAGGCCTGCCCTGGGGAGTGGTTTTGGTTTGTGGTGCAAGGACCAAGTCAGCCCTGCGCAGGACTCTCTTGGATGCCTTTGCTTGGCCACTTGTCTAAATCTCCAGCACTGTTTTCATTAACAACAACAGACCTTTTTGGCTCTGCTCATGCTCATCATTAGTGAATAACAAGAAAAGAGTCAAACCCTAAACATGTGACTTGGTGAAACCTGCTCAGGTGCTCTCAGAGTCTTGGCCTTTAGATCCACATGGAGCTATGCAGAGAAGAGGCACCTGCACGCTGGCCTCTGCCCAATGAGGGCCTGCTGTGGCCTCCCCAAGGTAGCAGCACAGATTAAATGGGAGACCAGCCAGGTCCACTCCCCTCTCTGACTTCAAAGGACTCACTTTTGTAAAACTTAGCTGCATATGGAATATTTTCAACTAGGAAACACAAACCAACCAGAAGCATTAGTTGCAGTTTTTCTTCCAGGACATTTTGATACTTGAAAAAAAAAATTGATTCATTTATCTTCATACTATTTTAAAGAGAAAAAAATTTTTTAATATTAAAAAAGTTGTATTTATTGTAAGTATATGAAAGTACTTCCAGTTTCATTGAACCAGATCAGGAAACAAAAACATACATTTTTCCCCCAGCAAGGCCACAAAATTACAAGTGTCCTAGATACAGCCAGCATGCCAGAGCCTGGGGGAGTGCATCCTGAATAGAGGAAGCTGTACCTGCAGCCCAGTGTTAGGCCAGCTTCAGATATGGTTCAGAAGCTGCTACAAGATCACAGCCTGAGAAGCTCTGTTCTCTTTCATCCTGAAAAATGAAGATCTGAGCAGTTTAGGCTTTGGCCGGGTTTCCTCTCTTATCCAGGAAGATACCACATCTGATGGCCCATAGGAGTATGGAGTTATGTTTTAAAGTTTATTATGACCGGATGTGGTGGCTCACGCCTGTAATCCTAGCACTTTGGGAGGCCGAGGCGGGCGGATCACCTGAGGTTAGGAGTTCGAGACCAGCCTGGTCAACATAGTGAAACCCTGTCTCTACTAAAAATACAAAAATTAGTCAGGCGTGGTGGCAGGGGCCTGTAATCTTAGCTACTCGGGAGACGGAGACAGGAGAATTGCTTGAACCCCAGAGGCGGAGGTTGCAGTGAGGGGAGATTGCGCCACTGCACTCCAGCCTTGGTAACAAGAGTGCAACTCCATCTCTGAATGAATGAATGAATGAATGAATGAATGTCTTCAAAGCTATACAAAAGTACAGATGGCAGTACAATGGAACTACCGTGTGCCTGTCCCACAAATTCAGCATGATTTTACCAGCCTGGTTAACCTTCTTTGGTTATTGCTGTGCTATAGTGTTCTAGAGAAAATCATTGCCAGCTTATTCTTTCACTTCTAATGGCTTTTCTAAAAGATGAGGCTATTTTCTTACATCCCCACAGTCAACTAAACATCTCCCCAATTTGACAGTCATTTCTTACTGTCATCAACTCCCAGCATGTTCAGATTGACGTGGGTGCCTCAATTAGGAGGCACGTGAAGTTGGCTCTTGTGTTTAATGGTCAATTTCTTAATCTAGAATTGTCTCTCTTTTTTCCTCCTCCTCTTTTTTTTATGCCATCATTTGCTAGAATAACTAGATCGGTTGTCAAAGGAACCAGATCCCACATTCAGTGTTTGTTCACTTGTATTATTTTAGGTTGTGTAACTTTTAGTTTCCCTGGTGTTTCCTCTAAACTTAGAAGTTAGATGCAAAGACCTGATTCTAGTTCTGTTGTTGTGCAAGAGTCTTTCCGAGGTGGTGCATCGTAGTTCCCCATGCGAAGGCTGGGCCTGTCTAATTCCACTTCCCTGGGGACCCTGAGGCCGGTTCAGGCACCATCATGCTGAGCCTTCTGTGGTTAAATCCCCTCAGCCTTTTTCTCACAGTAGTTCACTATGTGCTGATAATCATTGCTTATGAGAATGTGAAAACAATTTTCCAATTTTATTATTCTTTCTGCATTTAATAGCTAGATTCATCTATAAAGAGGAATTCTTCATTATAAAATGTTCTTTTATCTTTTAGTTAAGTGCCAATATTTAGGATAATGATTGGTTTTCTATCTACTTTTTTTTTTTTTTTTTGAGAGAGGGTTTTACTCTGTTGCCCATGCTGGAGTGTAATGGTGCCATCTCAGCTCACTGCGACCTCCGCCTCCCAGGTTCAAACAATCCGCCTATGTCAGCCTCCCAAGTAGCTGGGACTACAGGCGCATGCCACCACGTCCAGCTAACTTTTGTATTTGTTGGTAGAGATGGGGTTTTGCTATGTTGGCCAAGCTGTTCTTGAACTCCTGACCTCAAGTGATCCTCCTACCTTGGCCTCCCAAAGTGCTGGGACTCTAGGCATGAGCCACCACCCCTAGCCAATTTACTGTCTACTTCTAGTAGAAACCAAATACTTTTTCTTTTCTTTCTTTTTTTTTTTTTTTTTTTGACTTTTAGCTTCTCTTATTATTTTTGAACACCATTAGGAATAGTAATGGATTTTTGTATATACAATATATTTTATGTAGTTTCAGTAATTTATTTATCTTCTCTTTTGGTATCTTTGGCCAGTGGGAACCCCTTCATCTGGCTTCTGTGTCCATTTATTTATTTATTTATTTGTTTGTTTGTTTGTTTGTTTAATTTATTTAAACAGCTTTATTGAGGTGTGATCTGTATACCACCGAAGTCATGCATCTTAAGTGTTTGACGTCTCTGTTCTTTGACAGAGAGACATCTCTTCCTTCCTTACTTGGTACAGAGTGAGAGGTGGCTGCGTGTATTTGTTTTTTGTCTTGATCTTAAATACCTTCCTCTTTCAGATTATCTCAGACCTCGAGTCTTGGAATGATGAGCTTTCTCAGCAAATGAATGACTTCGACACCGAAGATCTCACGATCGCAGAGCAGCGCCTCCAGCACCACGCAGACAAAGCCTTGACCATGAACAACTTGACTTTTGACGTCATCCACCAAGGGCAGGATCTTCTGCAGTATGTCAATGAGGTCCAGGCCTCTGGTAAGAGGCTCATTCCATCTGTGTCCGTTGTGATTTCTTCATGTCCTCATGGCAATTCAGTTTATTTCAGTGGGATGACTGCACATTTTGTTAGTTCCTACGATACAGGTATTCTAGATACCTGTTCTTTAAAAGAATGTTTTGCATTTTTATGTAATACAGTCACATTTAACACCGTTACAGTACTCACCCATGATATTCTCACATACTATTTTAAGTATCATGAACTTTAATTTTACACAATGACATGTTGTATCTCTGTGAATGAACTGTAAATCCCAGGAAAACATTTTCACATTCTTTATTTTCTTAGTTTATATTTTACCAGCAGATGTCACTATAGGTTCAGAATTGTATTAGAAACTTAGCAACAACCTGCATATTGCATTATCCATTTCACACAAATTAAATGCTCACTAAAGAGGAAACTGCATGTAATGAGGATAACAACAAAAAAACCCTGAAATTCGCTCATTTCTAAAGAATGCCGCACTTTCCTAGTTATCAGTGTGGGAGTAGAAATGGATGGGATGTGGACGTGGATTGATTGCCTGTACATCCTTTGACACACATTACCCTCCTTGAACTTGCCCTTCAGCATAATGGCTTGGCCCCTAGCTGGGCAGATCATTCACAAAAGCAGATTTTGTGCCATCTGCCCTTTGAGAACAGAAGGTTGAAGTGCTAGCTGAATTCTAGGGTCTCCCTTTAATGTCCACAGGCGTGGAGCTGCTTTGCGATAGAGATGTAGATATGGCAACTCGGGTCCAGGACCTGCTGGAGTTTCTTCATGAAAAACAGCAGGAATTGGATTTAGCCGCCGAGCAGCATCGGAAACACCTGGAGCAGTGCGTGCAGCTTCGCCACCTGCAGGCAGAAGTGAAACAGGTGAGCAAGCCACTGGATGCTTGGGGAGGCTGCGCTACAGACGTTTGATATCTCATCAACTTCCTGGAAATTCTGACCTGTAGCATTGGGGAGGATTGTGCCCGCTCAGAACACAGCTGTCTTGATATATAAGATAATGCGCACATACACACACCCCCATTACAGCCATCCCTAATGTGTGAAAAGGGAGCCAGTGGCCAGGATGACTGGCTGGCTGTTCACCCAGCACGGGCAGTACTAGAAGGTAACAGCCCTTGGTTTCTTTCAATATTGATAGTGTGTCTCTTGCTCGAAAGCCTGAGCATATTGCCTCTTATATGACTTTTTCTGCCCAGTACTGTTAGGATCTGGATTGTTTCTCAGACTCCGTATGCCTGGGTCATTTATTGTGTTATCAGGATACCGTATTACCACATCCTGATGGCATGACAAAGTGAAAATAGAACATGGGGAAGGGATTGCTTTTGGCTCAGTACCAGTGGGGTTCTATGCGTGGATATGACATTTTATTAACTGGCTTGATGGAGGGAGAGAAAAGTTTATGGTGCCCTGAAAGATGCAGAGAAAGCAAACAGAAAGTGAGTTTGGTTGGAGGGGACTTAAGATGCCTCTGGACCATGAGCAGGAGGTGGTGCAGAAGTAGGTGACACTCACACTGGGGCAGGTAGACTCTTCAGTCAGAACTGTTGAAAAGAGCACCTTTTGGTCTCCCACATGCCATCTGTAGCGTGGGTATTTTTACATATAAACAAGTGTTGTGACCTGCTAACAAAGTGCTCCTTCTTGCAAAAACACAAAACAATTTAAGAAATAACGGAATAAATAAATGTATCCCTTAGGATTTGCCTTTGTCTATAACAGAGACTAAAAAATAGTGGCTTTGAAAAGGTGTTTTCCCCATGTGACAAGTCAGGATATAGAAGATAGCTGGTCTGCATTTAGTGCTCCCGTGGTACATCAGGCTAAGATCTTGGTGATGGGCGGCCTTTCCCTTCTGGTTGCCAAGTGGGTGTTGTAGCTCCAGCCATCACCTCCATATCCCAAATTATCAGGAAGGGGAACACATAATGAGAAAGAGGCAGCCCCTCTATCACAAAAGAAATATTTTCACAAACTTCCCCAGAGATTCCTGCTTTGCTTTCATTGGCTAGACTTGTACATTGCTGTAGCCAAGCTGTAACAGGAGCTGAGAAGTGGTTTTATTGTTTAAGTCCTCTTCCAAAGTTGGGGTTTTACTTAGAAAACCCCAGCCACAGACGTGGTTTTATTGTTTAAGCCCTCTCTCAAAGTTGGGGTTTTACTTAGTTGGAGTTTTTCTAAGTAAAGCCCCAACTTTGGGAGAGGGCTTAGACAATAAAAGTACTTCTGTGCTAAGTAAACGAGAGGGCAATAGGTATTATATAGGTTACTTGAGGTCTCTTCCACATCCAACTATCCAGAAGACCTCCCACAATCTGTGGTTTCCACTATCAGAATTTACTTCCTCTGAGTGTGTGTGCAGTTGAGAAGCTCATGGTTTGAACCTGATCATTGTAGCACGGTGTTACTCATACCTTTTTTATTATGCCGTTCAACACTGCAGGTAAATTGGAAAATTAGTTCGTGAAATAAATTAGTTCCCACTTTTCAAGCAGTTGCCAGTTTTTCAGTCCTAAAAATGCTGAAAGAGAATGAAAAATGCTTTTCTTGATTATCAAGGAATTCTTGGTGTCAGTAGGTTTTCTAAAATGTAGCCCTTAATCTATTCTGGCTTGTGGACTAGTATCAACAATCCACTGGACCCTCCACCTTTTCATTTCCCATTTGCTACTAAAAATAACAGAACTAATTAAAAAGATGCAGCACTTGCAGGCAGGTACCATGGAAGAACATCAGGCTGTTGCCAGGAGGATGATGAAGCCATCAGTGCTTTGTACCTACCAGGAGCAACTGGACCACCTTGCACGCTCATATCTCACCCCTGATGGTCCACAGGATTCTCTGGAAAGTCCGCAGCTTGGAGTTACCCTGTGTAATGTTTCAGGTGCTGGGTTGGATCCGCAATGGGGAGTCCATGTTAAATGCCGGACTTATCACAGCCAGCTCGTTACAAGAGGCAGAGCAGCTCCAACGAGAGCACGAGCAGTTCCAGCATGCCATTGAGGTAAGGGCGCTGGGCCTCTCTGTGCTTTGGCTCTTTCATTCCTCAGGACAAACATCCTGAATCCAGGGGGTTCCTGTTCTCCTATTGTAGGGGTCCTGGCAAGATGCACTTTCTCTGATCTGGAACAGCTCAGAACCAAGGAGCCCACATTGCAGTCTCAGCTGAGGTTTTCTAATATCTTTCTGGTCTCATAAGTATGTTTCTCCTATGTTCCCAACCTCAACCAAGCAGAGAGCTCACCAAGACCAGGTGTATATCATGAATTCACTATCAGTCCGTAAACAATGCCGACAGCAGAACTCCTCAGATTCCTGCTTAAAAGCAGCCTTGTTCACCTTGACAAGGGTCTGTATGCCACAACTGTAGCAAAATGACTCAGGCTAATTCCAGGCCTGATCCAGTTCACTGTCAGCATGTGGACTAATGATTTTTATTTTTATGGTACGGGTAGGGCACATGGGTAATGGTTCTGATTGGTAGTGGTGAGGTAATGTCAAAGGAAAAAACATTTGATTACAGAAATGTTATCTCCCCTCCTCTGCTCACATGTTGTCAGCCAGAGAAGGAAGCTATAGAAGTTGCCACTAATTTATTCCCTAGATTAATTTATTGTCAACTGCTTGATGCCATTGGACGTGCATTAACAGCTCTTCGTGAGGTGCAAACTCTGGGCATCTGTATACTGTGCCAAGGGATTTCTAGTAATTAAATTGCAAGTAATAAATCACTGTGTCTGGGTAAAGGATTGAAATATATTGTATATAGTGTTTTATGGGATCATTTGTACTTTTTCAGGTGAAATGAAAGGTTTTGCTATTGTTTAAAAAAAATCTTGTATCCTCAGAGACCTGTGCTCTCCCTGACCACCCCCTCCCTTGGCTCTACGGCCTCACTGGAGAGAAGCTGACTTCTCAGCCCGTCCTGGCTCTTCTAGTGAGGACAGATGAGCAAAATCTTACAACATTTGCCATGCTATCTGTATAGATTTATCAGATGGCATGGACCTCCAGAGAACACAGTTGTTTCATTCTTAGCTTTTTATTTGTTTTTCCTTTCCTTTTTAAAATCAATAGTTCTTGAAAGCTTTTCACTGGAGTCCAAAGTTAAAGTTGCAAGTGAAAATAAAAGGCGTTCACTCTGGCCACCTTTTCTCTACTTGTTCATTTGCTTCCAGCAGCTATTATGGGAAGGATCAATAGGAATAATAAACTTGGAACATTTCAACTGCTTCTTTGGCTGTTAAGGGTCTTTCCTGCTATTTTTCAGACTAAGAACCCTGCAACTGAGACCCGTTCTGGGAGGTCCTGATGAATTTCATCCTTCGTTTAGCTAATTTAAACATAGACCTAGTTGTTCCTGGGCATAAAACCTTTTTTCCTAAACTGTCTGTTGTGCTTTTAGAAGCGTCCTAGTGAGTATTAACTGAAGGTATTTCCACAAAATCATGAAGAACAGAGTAACTGTAGCCATCCTGGTTGCTTTCTAGTCAGTGGGGACACTCTGGCAAATAAGGCTTCCCTTGTCTTGTCTGTCTCTAGAAAACACATCAGAGTGCGCTGCAGGTGCAGCAGAAGGCAGAAGCCATGCTGCAGGCCAACCACTACGATATGGACATGATCCGGGACTGCGCCGAGAAGGTGGCTTCTCACTGGCAGCAGCTCATGCTCAAGATGGAAGATCGCCTCAAGCTCGTCAACGCCTCTGTCGCTTTCTACAAAACCTCAGAGCAGGTCGGGAGAGGTTCCCTCCCTTGAACTCTCCACTGATACTTTATTTTGAGCTTAATTTCTTGGGACAACTCAATCATTGTTAACATGTCAGTCATTATTGAACCAATCAGTTGCAAGTCCAGCAGGGAAAGGGCTTTCTGGAGTTAAAATTATTCCTGTATACCTTAGATGTCAAAGAATAATAAGCTAGAAAGTAGCTGAGAAGACACCGCTCTGCTTGTCATTTAAACATATGACCTGAAACACATCAGAGAGAGACAGGATATTTGCTTTGGTTTTGTTCTTGCTCTGGAAGGTCTGCCTGCTTTTGACCCTGTAGTTGTTCTCCAGCCAGATAGAGCCCATGGCTCCTTCTTATGTCATCTTCCTGACAGCATCTCATCCCCAGAGCCCGACTGAAAGGGCTTTCCAGAGATACCAGTCGGCAATGGCAGATGCCAAGTCTGAGCCTCGAACTTTTCCTGCTTACAGGTCTGCAGCGTCCTCGAGAGCCTGGAACAGGAGTACAAGAGAGAAGAAGACTGGTGTGGCGGGGCGGATAAGCTGGGCCCAAACTCCGAGACAGACCACGTGACACCGATGATCAGCAAGCACCTGGAGCAGAAGGAGGCGTTCCTGAAGGTAGGGGCCGCGCCGCGGGCAGTGCACCCAGCAGAGGCTTCCTCCCTGAAGGTAGGGGCAGTGCTGCGGACAGTGCACCCATCAGAGGCTTCCT